TCCCAGACGAGATCTGGGTGGTCAAAGTTTGAGTTCTGGCTCGTAAGCGCTGCTGATCGATGCCTCGGCAGTGCCACCGTGGCCTCGTGGTAATGGTCTCGCTTTCAAGTCAAACGCATGCGGGTTTGGGGTTGGCGCGAAAATTTTTGCTTCGCTCCGTATAAGAGCTTCAACTCTAATTTTCGAAATTCTTCCGAATTTACGGCCCAGCAGGGCAAGTAGATCAAGTACATCAAGTATACGACGTACTCGATCTAGTATGGATTTGGTCATATCTGCCCTCTCTGAACATATTACCCATCCGACAATTCAAAGTTTTGCCCAGAATCGCAATTTGGCCAGACGAGCGTTTTTTCGTCGAAGGATGTGATATTCGTGTTCAGGGGAAATCTCCCATGAACGAATTTCTCGCTAAAACTTTGAATTGTCGGATGGGTAATATGTTCAGAGAGGGCAGATATGACCAAATCCATACTAGATCGAGTACGTCGTATACTTGATGTACTTGATCTACTTGCCCTGCTGGGCCGTAAATTCGGAAGAATTTCGAAAATTAGAGTTGAAGCTCTTATACGGAGCGAAGCAAAAATTTTCGCGCCAACCGGATGCAAACCCGCATGCGTTTGACTTGAAAGCGAGACCATTACCACGAGGCCACGGTGGCACTGCCGAGGCATCGATCAGCAGCGCTTACGAGCCAGAACTCAAACTTTGACCACCCAGATCTCGTCTGGGAGGTCCCCGTAGCACTTTTAATCTGCATATTCGTAATCAGCATTCGAGGCTCTATCGATGTACCTAGGTCTCCATTCAAAGTTCCATGGGAAGTTCAAACCATTCCCTTGTAAGAATGTTACTCAGCATCATTGCGAGATGGTCATCAAATTTAAGTGACAGGGTAGATTACTACCGTCCCTAAACGCTGGACATGGAAACTATACCTCATGCGATTGACTTCTTATAGGATGAAGCTCCATTTCTCATCGACTCAGACAGGGTCATTAGAAGGGGTGTTAACAAGCCAAGAGGAAGACAATAATGCGATAACGCCAGATCCTGCTCACAGCTGCTGCGAGCTCCGCACATATATCAAAGTATGTACAGTTTCGCTTCCTACGTGCGGAGATACGCTAAGCCATTGGTAAGGGAGAAACTCCCAGTTTCCCTAGGTTAAAAGGAACGGTCCGTGGCTTCGAAGAAAGACTGTGTATCCACCTACTAGATCGTGGTCCTGGCCATGTACGGGGTGAATGGATTTGACGCTGGAGTAGTGTGCCATTTCCTCCAATTGAAATAGCATATACTCAAGATCTCTGGAGATCGGATAGGCGTGGCTGCTTAATTTTAAAAAAGCGGCGGCCTAGGTTTCCGTAAAATATTTTCATTTTGGAACAGTCGTAATCATGTCTACATCTAAGACAGAACGAGATGGAAGTTCTTTCGAATGAAATATCCGACGAGTAACCCGTCCTATGCCATGCTCAAAAGCTACGCCTACCCCGTCTCAAGACTAAAGAGTGTACACTCTACTTCGCTGCGGACGGTTGGGCGTGTCAGCCAGTATGAGTGTGCACAGCGTCAAGGCCGTTCTCTGCCTTCTTGTTGAAGCGCGCATGCGACAAAAAGTGGTAGAAAACGAGTAATACGATCGATATGATACAGTCATATCATTTGTTCGCTTTAAAAACTGGTGGAGAACGGGTTTGGCACCGCGCCAAACGCAGCCGCACTGACACGCCCAACCGTCCGCAGAGAACTACACTATAGAAAGGAGGAAGAGATGTGATGCACTGGTTGTCTTCTCGACTCCGCCCGTCCTACCGGTCAGTCGCAGAATTAGCGTTACATAATGAGCCATGCTTTGAAACTCTGGAGTTTGCCAAGAATTTTTGTAGCATTAAATGAAAGTATATAGAAGCAACCTTATATACATTTATGCTCATAAAGGGGGGAGGCATTTCCCCTTCCACTAAGCAGTAGAGATTAACCAGAAAAGAGAGATCGCAGACAAGCAGCGCGCTTGGCCATGGTTAGGCGAGTGGCTGGGATGTGCAGCAGCGTGAGAGTAACGTGGAGACGGCACACGGTCACTGCCGTCGAGCCCTAATTCCTGCACTTTAAGCGGAGAAAGTGGCAAGCTACTGCAACTGCAGATCAATCCTCACTACACACAGCAAGGGCCGAGAACCACGGAAATGGGTGTAAACTCTGCCTTGAACCTGAGTGGAAAGCTAGGGAATAAACATCATGTAAGCTTTGTTCCCTACAGTTGCAAGGACCACGTTTCCATAAAACCGCTACATAACACACCTGGATGTTCGGAGTGTTCTTGAAGTTCGAGGCAAGAAAGCCTCTGAAGGTGCTGTCGAAACATTGCATCTGGACTGATCCGATTCAAGTGCTGCCAGTAAATCTTAAAGTATTAATTAGCTCGAAGTACTAACCTCATACATAGTACCCTTTCAAGAGAGTTTTTTTAGTTGTGCCTCATCCGCCAACAACAAATTACTATGCAAGCGGTATCTTTGGTGCTACGTAGCTTATTACCTTAGCCGTCTAGGTTTCCAGTAGCGTCAGCCACTTAATAGAGTTAATCCATAAAAACAGCAGCTAGGTTCATCTTTTCTGCCAAACGTAGCTCGGTGCAGACCGATCCTTTCATACCACACCAAATCGAGGAGCTACGATTGCAGCGATGTGGGTTGAGCTTTGGTTGGGTCAGTCGCGTGACGCCGTGGATGGGCCACATGACGTACTCTAATCGCAGAGTATTCAGCTGTCATCGTCTAATCAAAAGAGCTTATTTGATAGTACATTTTAATGGTCATGCCGACGAGGTGACCTACGACTATGGATATGAAGCACGTAAGTGATGCTCTGAAACCATTTCGAAGGTCAGCTTCATTGGCCCCCGAATAGCTCCGATTTTCTGGAAAAAGCTGAATGCCGCAGATTCTACTAGGATTCTGTTTCGTGGCACCTGCCAGCCAGAGAAATCTTATCTTGACAGTGATTTTTGGAAGCTAGGCCATGGAAGAGCCCATTTCCAAAGGTTCTGCGAGTACCCAGGTGTCCTTGGTAAGTTGCATTTCCCGCTGATCATCATGAAGATGATTAATGGTCGTCCACTGCGATTGTCTTGAGCTGACTGTAGATACTGTTGGTTTTCAAAAGAGTAGTCCCTTCATCAGATTTGCCGGTGATGGCAGCACTCGCTTCGATCGCGCGTTTCTTTTAGAGCTCCTCATAAAATTGATGGTACGGAAATGTAGTCATCTAATCGTAGTTGACTAATTTTACGAATGTTAAGATACTTTGGATGCTTTGGATGCTTTTCTTTTGACATTTTCGGCAGTCTTCTAAGTGGTGATCACATTGACTAAGGAAGCGCAAAACAAACAAAAGTCCAGCTGCAAAGGATTTACTACCAGCAGTATTTCTTTCGATCTACTTCACGTTTAAGAACTTTCGTTACTCACTTAATGCAATGTGTTTTGTCTGAGTACTTTATATTACTATCTGCTTTGTAAGATTAACGAACTCAGCGTTATGAGCGTAACGTATACCTTGGACAGAAAGTGATTCACTGTTACTGCAAGGCTTCCATAAACTACGTCCATTGGCAATCCGGTACCGGGTAAACCGATGGGCTCTTGTAGAAATGCCAGAGGCAGCACTATAAAAATATAGAAAGTTACAGATGTCACAGGTGTGTTTCAGATTTCACGGCCCTCTATTACCTTGAGAACAAGCTGTAACACCTCCGACGGTCTCTGCCCCGTTCAAGAGGAACAGGATGGCAACTGAATACATGTAGCATTTTAATCAACTGAGATCGCGCAGAAATGATGCTAAAGGGTACTATTACCAGAATGACATTCTGACTCCGCCCGTGCTACGCTGTCCTAGAGTGCTGCACTTGCGCAGAAACCAAAATCCCGCAGCGAAGAGTACAGACCAATTTGAAGGAGGAGGACGCAGATTGGTAGCGCGTTCCGCTATGGTTAGGTGTGGTAGCGCGGGCGGCTTTCGCAAACGGCCCCTTTGTATAATTACCTATTGCCCGTCCCTGTGCAATTCTGAGCAGGCAAAGTGGCGTGCAGACCCATTCCCTTCGCACATAGCGAGGACCAGGATTCGCGAAGGTGAGTGCGCACTTAAGTACTTGGAGGATCATTTCCCAAAGTGAAGAAGTGGGTAGAGGAACGATACCCCAGACTACGTACCTTACAAAACCCCGGTGCTTACCAAATACTTTCACGCAGCGGAAGTGATATAATTTATGCGGCAGCGGACCTCGCCCCAGTTACATATAAAAATGATTTGTCGCAGTTCGCTTGGGAGCTGGGGGGGGGAGGGAATGGAGTAGTGGGAGGGTTCCCAATTCAAACAATGTTCCCAATTCACAAGTGTTTACAAGCTTGTAAGTTAGCTGGTCTTCAACAAACGAATCTATTGACCAGCAAATTACACCCCGTAGGCAAACAGCGCCAAACATTCTGCTTTTCAAGTGATGGCGGAATGGGTCTCAAACCAGAAAGAAACGGAAAATTTCAGCTGACGCCGAAGAAGACTGCGGCCGTCTGGGACTTTTCGCCTGGAAAAGTTGCTTTCTCTTGGGGCCACCACTTACCAAGAACGCTCACGGAACATAACATGCAGGGTTTGTGACCTCTTCCCAGTCAGGAAACTATAGCATACGGTTCCGATGGAATAGGTTCTTTTGAGAGTTCCTTCAAAGTAAAATACTTGCATGTCAAATATGAAAGGCTGTACCCATGATGGCCAAATGACCGTTGTACTCTAGAGTAGGCCTAAGCACATCATACACAGTTGCGTCGTCTGAATCCAAGTAGGTACCGATCTGCGACAACCGATAAATACTTTGCCTTCGCAGCAACCTCGTGATCGTACCAAAGTAGTCGTTGAAATCAGTCGCGACCTGCAAAGAATACTGTGAAAAGCTCACAAATAATTTCCATAATAACTTCTGTCATCGTTTCTTGGCCAACCTGTCGAAGGCACGTCCCGCGTTCATTTGAAGTTCAGACGCCTCCTTTGGACATGGTAGTCCTGTCCACAAGCACAGAGGATGTTCCACTTTTTCAGCTCAAATACACTTGATGAAGGCGCGATCCACTCGGACGGAGGCACCGCCCCGCCCACTATCCACGGCAACGCCTAACCTTCATTTCTTGAGACCTCCTTGTAGTGCGGTTGATCCGCTGTTCGCTCTCTCCATTTCGGGTGATAAGGGCGAGGTAATAAGGGAAAAACTGGCATCAACAAGAGAGAACTCGTCCAACCACGCCCTCAATCTATTTTATGCACCTACTAGAGCAGTTCAGCAGGGGGGCTCTGTATGAGACAATTTTGGCGGATTTTAATTTTTCCTACTTTTTTCTTCACTTTTGTTTTGTTCACCGTCATGTCATTAAGTTTTGAGCCCCACATTCCCACCACTTTGAACGCGGGTGTGTCTTCAACTATAGCTGCCTTGAAATAAAACAGGTTTTAATATTCAATGTTGAAGACGTACCGATGAGAATGGCTTCCAAACAAGTTCTTCGTTCGTGAGTCGCTGTGGCCTATCGCCACTCAAGAAGGCGATGCGATTGAAATCGTCCAGATGATTCGTTAAGAAGTCTTTTTTCAACTCTCCAAGAAATGACAAGAGCTGCAATCATAATTAATGAGTGACGAGATGTAGTGGTCATTTCAGTCGTTATCACTTGAGTCAGTCGCGGCGTGTCAGCGGAGGGTGGGTTTTGGCGTGGGCCAGCGTGTGTTCCATCGACCGTTGCGACCTTGGCTATTCAGTGAGGGGTGGGTGAAGAGCTGACGTCTCGCCAGAAACCCGCGCTGGTGGCACGCTCGAACTGACTTCAATGATAAGGTTGCGTTCATACTTTTTAGCAGTCCACCAGTGTAAAAGCGTCCGGCGGCGTCAGCGACTAGGAAGAATAGATATCGATCTAGCGCCTGCCAGCGTCCGGGAGTGGAGAGTATGGCGCGATAGGAGGGTAGCAGACAGCTGGTAGAGTATGGGGAGATAGGAAGGTAGCAGACTGCTGGTAGAGAGTATGGAACGATAGAAGGTAGCACACAACTAGTAGATAGGAGGGTAGCAGACTGCTGGTCACTGGTGGACGCTTAGGCGCTGGCAGACGCTAGATTGATACCCATACTTCCCTGGCCCTCGAGACGTCGGTGGACGTTTATAGACGCTGATAAATGCTGGTGGACGCTGGCAAACGCTAGATCGATTTCGATTCTTTTCGCTGAAGCTGCCGGACGCTGCCGCAAAGTATGCGCAGCCCAACGACTGTAGCTACAGCAACATATTTATTGAGTAACAATAACTGACTCACTTTATCTTTCTTTCCCAAGCGATTGTTGGCAATGTATAGCTTCTGAGCAGGCTCGAAACTTTCAAGATTTTCAGCGCACTGTAACCAGCTGAACGGCGCTGCGATGTCGTTGGCTATACAAGGGTAGACCGACTCAATTGCACTTACCTCATCTGTCGTTGTTCATCAAAAGCAAAGGTTTCCAAATGTTTCACTGTTACAACTACAAGATAGTTGGCCATGGTTTGAAGTGAGTAACGAGAGACGAGTAAGGCGAGACGGTTGAAATACTCAAGATTCATCACCGATACCATGGTTTCATCCGTCAATTTAAGTATGGGAGATAGCTCAGCTCCGAGCAAATCTCGCCAGCCAATCTGAACAGAAATTCAGGCAGAT